AATACTTAAATTAGTTCATTCACTTCTTTAAAACTAATTTCATACCATTTGATATACCGAAAAGAAAATTAAGAAATTCGGGACAATAAATATTGAAAATTTTACTAGCGATTTCGTTCACAGTCAAATTATTTTCTCTATCAATGCACATTAAAATTTTAAGATCGAATTAACTTACTTTTTATCTTTTCCTAATTCTAAGAATCAGAAAGAGATAAAGAACACAAAATTGAACCAAGATTAAAGTTGATCTATATTATTGATAGAAATGGATGTCAACTGCCGATTAAGTTAATTGCAGTTAAGTCGTTCCGATATCTATACTTCTATCAATGTTGTGTCAGATTAATGATCTCAGTTCAACTTACTATTAACTTTTATCTTTTTCTAGTTCAATTGCCCGTTTCTGTCAACGTAAGTTATAATAAATTTATTATCGGTTCAACTTTTTTCACCTCTTCCTAATTTTTAAAAAAGGATGTAAAGTTAATTGAACTAAGCTAGAATTATAAACTATAAAAACGAGTATAAGAAGGAAAAAAATAACGAGTTATTAAAACTCATAACGGGACCACGTACTTTTTGTAACATTAAAGAATGTGAGACTTTAGAGCCACTAAAGTTTTTTACTATTTTTAAAAGCATTTTTTTAAACTATAATATAAAAAATTGTAACATCTAGACCTAGCATAAATAAACATAATATGATAATTATAGTTTCCATGAATAAAACTAAACTGTAAAAAATAAAATTGTGCAATACAAAATTATTCCAAATCATATACTATACATATAATTAGAAAAATAACCTAAGAGTAATATCACTGTATTTTAACTACGGATTGACCTATATTGGAGAATGGTCTTATTGTGCTAAATCGGATTAAATTAATTAGAATTTAGCCAAAATTGTCTCGATATCCATTTCTATCAATGTAAATAAACTTCGATCCTTTTTTAGTATAACTAATTAATTTATAACTAGTTTTTGTAGTTCTAAGAATTAGAAAAAAATTAGGAATAAATTAAACCGAAATGAAGATCATCCAAATTAATAAAATTGGCTCCATCGACCGATTAATTGAAGTTGGTTGAATTTACTCTGTTTATTTCTATAAAAAAAGATATCAATTTAATCTCGAATTAATTTATTTTTTATCATTTCTTAGTAGTATTTGCTAATCTTTTCTAAGAATAGACAATGAAGATAAAAAATGAATTAAATCGAGATTAAAATTAATCTACATAGATAAAAATAAGCCTGCATATAAAGAAAAATGTAAATATACGCTAAAATTTTAGTAAATATTATGGAATTGGCTCATATAGGAACAGACATTCACTTCTGTAAATAAGCGATCATCGTATAGTAAGGTACTTTCTAAATTTCGTAAAGTAAATCTATAAATTATAAATTATATCATACATCTAAATAAAATTTATTTTATGAATGAGTATTTTTACTTTGATACTAACAAAATGTATTCTACTGCATGATTAAAAATACAAGTATTATGTATAAAGTCTTAAAAGATATTCATGCTTCTTATATAATCTCAAAAATAGTATGATTTACTTTAAAGTAACATTTGTAATATTTTCGCAACAAATAAAATTATTTACAAATTAAATTATATTCAAATTAAATTATATTCTTAAAACACTTAGATTATCATTAAATTATTAACATTATTTTAATATGCTTATCAGCATCAAAAATTAATAAATTACTAGTCAATTTAATATGTGATGTTACTCTAATTCTGTTCATGATTGTTTCCAGAATTAGACACATATACGTATCTGGAGACACGGTAGTGTCTCGGTATAAATTCACTTTAAAATATTTAACACTAATTGTTACTGTAAGATAATAATCACTTGAATAAATTTATAATACTATAGTTATAACGTACTTTTTCCTCACACCTTCGATATTTTTTACTTTCAGGCAAGTTTCTTATAAGTTCAGCCAAAATAGCCAGAATATTTTTGCTGCTGGTCTTGTAAAGTGAAAATTATTCAATCATTTTTCTCTAAGACAGATCATGCATGTCCTTCGTTATTCAAAGACCATTTTTAAACGTGCAGATTTTTACCAGGTCAAGAGAGGGTTCGACTTGGTGCTTTCGTGAACGATCATCTCAAGGAACCCGGCGGACTTTCTTTGGTGATTCTCTGACGGTGATTCTCGGAATCACCGACACACATACGACGGGGAGAACAGTCCCGTCTCTGTGAGCAATTACGTCTGTACAACGGTACGGTCCGTGCAGGCAGGTAAAGGTCGCTCGTGGGTCCGAAGGTCACCGCCTCTCTATTCCATCCGCTTGCCTGCTGCAAATCGGCACGGCGATCTGTCCTCGCCCCGCCCGACGGCGGCGCGTCGCGTCAGGTCGCGATTTATTCTTTCCGAAGAGCTTGTGTGCGGACATATATTCGCGGATCACGTCCGAAAATAAAATCGCGCACGCGGTGACACGTGCACGACTGAAAGCGACGCGTAGCTTTGTTCTGGCGATCACGTCGCGCTACACTCGGCAACACGAAATTATTGCCCAACTCTTGAACTCTTGAATGTATTTTCGAACGCGAACACGCGTACATTCCGCGAGGTGTATCCCGCTGACTCTTGAATATGCATGAACGATTGAATTGAAATGTCAATGATCGCGTAAGAAAATGGATGATACTCTCCCAAACCCGAGAGAATCCTTTGAAATGACCTCCCGAGAAAGATTGCCAGAGAAACGTCCAAGAGTTCGTTAGGAAATGTATTAAAATTAAGTGGAGTTTCTGTTGACGACTCGTGTGCTCGTTTCTATCAATATATTTAATTTTAATCTCGATTCTCAATTAACTCTTCTATTCTAGTTCTAAGAATTAAAAAAAGATGAAAAATAAGTTGTACCAAAATTAACGTTTAAATTAATCTATAAGATAGAAACAGACGAACGGATATAATTTTTAAGACTAGAAAGAGGTAAAAATAATTAAATCGAGTTAAATCTTCATCTTAAAGTTAATCTACATTGATAGAAATGAGTCGGTGGAGGCATCCCTGTTTCAATTCAGTTGTTACATCATTTTTGGCTCATTTTTTCATTATCTGGCTCGTGATAAGGCTTAACCTGATGCTTTATCCAATGGACTTCATTTGTGATGATATCATGAATGAAGCCCATATATTAGTTTTTTCATTATCTGGTTAACTCGTGATAAGGTTTAACCTGATGCTTTATCCAATGGACTTCATTTGTGATGATATCATGAATGAAGCCCATATATTGGGTGTTGAAATATCGAATTAAGCTTAACCACAAGTTAATCAGATAATGAAAAACTGGACCTTTGTCTGTTACGAATTTTTGATAAAACTCTGTGAGCTTATCTCATAGATTGACGTCGTGACTAAATATTATATTCACTGACTTCGCAATTTTATCATTGTTTTGTGTTATTAGTGGCTGAAATGTTCTTTGTTGCGAAGTCTAGGACTATTAAAATCGGAAAGTGGAATTAAGCTACTATCTAAAACTTTTAGAGTGAATTTCACTTGAAGAAATTATGTCCGTTTTCAATGTAAATTAATTTTAATCTCGATTTTATTTAACTCATACTGTTCATCTTCTTCTAGTTCTAAAAATAAAAAAAATATGAAGAATAAATTGAACCGAAATTAAAATTAATTTACATTAGTGGAAACAGACCCCTTAAAGATTGAAAATTGAAACACTTTCAATAATATTTCAAATACCTATATTAAGGCTTCAAAAAAATAAATTAAAAGTCACTCTTTTTCATTTTCAAGACTGGCTCAATTCACTCTATAAAGTGAGACTTTTCTACAAGAAGCTATTAATAATAATAGCTGTGCTAATAAAATTTCTGAACAGTAAAAGACTCAGATGAGACATAAACATATAACAAAAGCAATAGCAAATCCAAGATGTTGTTACTTACTGCTTATGTTTTCTGTTTAGATTTTTCTATATGCCACTGGTTTTCTACAATAAATTATATTAATCTTAAATTTTAATCTTATACCCATAATCATCGTCAAGCCTTAAGGTTTCCTTTATGTTCAGATGCTCTATGAATTATTTTATTAGAAACCGAATAACTAAAGATTATTTAAGAAAGCTTTAAATATAAGGCTTGACTATTAAGCTGCAAAAAATTAACCAATCAGTAGATTATTCTTCTCACATTCGACAGTGATAGATTAATTTTTATGACTTAAGATTTAAAACTTGGGTAATAGCTTATTGTAGAAACTTTATTAGAATAAAGATTATGGCATATAAAAAAAACTTAAGCAAATAAAAAAATTTTGGATTTACTACAGTTTACATTATTACCTTACAGACTCTAGTGTGATTGACCAAATCATGTAAATTTGTTTTGTGTGACATAGCCTTCACAGTTTTCTGTGATGACGAAAACGGAACATTCCGTACACAACAGCGTTACGTCATAAAGAGAAACGCCTCAGGCACTTGCGAGGTCCACTTTGGAGAGAAGACAAGATTCGCTTTATTTCGTACCCTCTGACTCGGAGCACATCTCACATCGTGCATTGAAACGTCCGGAACAACTCGGCGCGTGGCGAGGAAGAGGAATGCAGCCTACGGTGACACCAATGAGCGCGCAGAAGGGGCACACAATATACAAAACGCAGTTCCTTCCGTACCCGGAGTTTCCTAATCTGACCTGGGAGTCGTCACACTGGATTCGACCCACCGTCGCAAACGAAGAGAAACGAAGGGGAAACGATGATCGTCACACGAGCCATTGCATTCTCACCGTCGTCGACGTGCTGCGAACATTGTGAGCGCGCGCGCGCGCGCGCGCACACACACAACTCTTCCCTCGGGAGGAAGCCGTCGATGCGGCGGGGCGTGCACACGAAAATGCGAAAACGTACTCCCGTGTGCTCAAGGGCGAACCTCGAGAACGAGAGAGATAGTGATAGATAAAAGAGAGAAACTGCAACTCACCTTCGCGTCTAGCAGCGGCGACGACTGATCCGTGTCGTCGCGCAATCGGGACCAGCGGGCAAGCTACCAGACTTCGGCCACGGGTTAGAGTTCATAACCTCTTCTAACCTTTACCTTTCCGCCTCCCCTGTCCCTGTCGTGCTACCACCACCACTTTCTACACGAATATCCCGACCAATCCCGACATCTCGCGTCGCTCGCTGTGTCATCGAGCATGTAAACGTGTCATCGCAATGTGCGCAATCAGAACGACACCGTTTACCTCGGAGCGCTCAGTGAGGTCTTTCATTCGATTGGCATATTCCGTTAAATCCTAAGATGTGGACCAATCAGATGAGAGAGTTCTCTGAGCACTCAGCGCCACCGTTCATGAATTGCATCCAATGTAGGTGGATTATTTTGGCGAACACTGCGCCGCGATGGACTACGGCGCGAATTACCATCAAGCACGGCGCCATGTTGGATAAAGTCCATAGGCGGGACGAAACATGTCTGAAGTGTTCGATTTGAAAAACAGAAGAATCTTACTCTCTAAATTCTTTGGTATGATATCTCATTCTAAAATTGAGTCAGTCTTGGAAAAGAGTGACCCAATTTTCAGTCTTTAAGAAATTTGACTTGACTCACTTTAATTTGGCTCAATTTTGATACATAATCCGACATTTCGATGAAGTTTTATAGATAACATAGTACTAACAAAATGTAGTCAAATCCATAAATGCGAAGTTACAGAAATGCTTAGCTTTCAGAATATTCATTTTTTTACGAGAAAAAATAATTTGAATTAAAAATTTTGTTAACTATTTAGCATTGTAAATACAATATATAAAAATATTGTATTTATTTTTGCTATACGTTGTATTGACGATGCTGATAATAGGTTTACATTTACATTGACTCTTAGCATTTTTTTGTTACTCTATCTTTTATTATTAATGTAATGTGTGCATGTACCACACTAAACTTACCAAAGTTTACAAGAATTCTCGGAAACAATGATCCCAAAATTTTGTTCCTGAATAAAGAATAGGAATAACAAGTTAAATATGAAAAAAGTTAGTTTATTGCAAACACGTCGTACAATGTGGGATACATAAATTTTTATCATCTAAGTTTTGCCATTAAACGCAATACGACTACTGCTAGTATCACTACTGTCCTTAATTTAATCATAGTTATCCATTTTAATTGCACTTATCTTATACTTCGTTCCTTGTCTCTTTTTCTCTCTCCAAAGCTCGGATATATACCTATTTCGTTTTAAGCGTGGAAAGTATAAGAAAGTGCAACTAAAACACGATGTTATTAGGATATTTTTCTGAAGCTTTACCTAATAAATATTCGGTTCTGTTGTATAATAATTGTATGTTGCACGATACATTCATACATGCATACATACATAAAAGTTGTAATATACCAATGAACCTATAAAGTAACATCAACCAGTACGAAAGCGCTGCGATAACATATCAATACAATACGTTACAAAATTGAACCTATTATTAGAAATATATTCTTATGTTTAAAATTGTCTCTAATCAGAGTATAGTGAAGTTAAACTACATTAGTAGTAGATATTTACATAAATGTTGACTATATATTATTAAATAGATGCGTAGAGTAATTATGAATTGGCATTTGTTATAAAGTAGAATTAAAAAAAAAAAAGGTCAGAGAGACTATATTTCAATGTACAAACGCGTAACTATGTTTTATCCGATATTTAAAAAGTTTCAGAAACGTATGTCTGATTTTCTTGCTCGTATCTAAACTTATACGTTTTTATTTTCTTTATTTTTGGTGACTTATTGCACAAGTTTCCTACAGAGAGAAGACATCTTATGTTGGATTATCTTAAAACGTGGCCCTGAAGATTTGTTGATTAAAGTAGTATAGTACTTAACTAACTTTGTGTATCGTTGACTTGAGAGATCAATTTTATATCTTGTGTAAAACTTAATGTAATTTTATGAGAATTTAACGCATATCACTGTACATCACACATTGTGGGTTATGTACATGAACACTTTTTTTTAATGTCTTAGTATTGTGTAAATAATACTAATAATGCGTGTGGAAATTATGGCAGCAAGATATTCTTGTATCTATCAAAATATCTTGTCATTATAATATAGTTTTGGAAATGCTATATACTTTATACCACACATATTTTGTAACACATATAAGTGTAATGTAAAAAACATTAACGGAATCTTAATTCTGTTGAATTGGCAAACACATATTCGTTTTTATTTTAATTATATTTGTGTAACGGTAACAAATTCTATGTTTAAAAGCTATATAATAGTACAGAGGTTTAATATGAATTACAAACAAAGAGAGACTGGCCTATTACGATTTGTAAAAATGAATTAATCGAATACCATATCTGAAACTTATTAAGATAACGAATTCTTTTACTAAGTAAAAATGTGGACTTGAAAGGGAAAATCTCCCAAAGTTTCCTGACCTATCGGAAAAAAAATGTCCATATAATATCTTTCGATAATATTACCTTATTATCATTTTATATAACTTACCGCTGTTAAAATTAATAGTAAAATATCATTACTAGTACTAAACTAAGTAGACGCTATACTAACTTATATCAAATGTAACTTGTCCGTATGTCAAAGGGGTAGAAAGCACCGTAATGATTTTATACACACGTTCCGAAAAACAAATTATATGATTGTTCTGTTAATCATTCCAGCAGGTACGGTAAGTTGATCACAAAGATTCTGCACATTTCAATTAAAGGCAGAGTTGCTAGCAGATCTAGAATTCCCACAAAATTCCACGTAAACATCTATCAAAGTATCGTTAAGTGCCGAGGAGGTATTTCGTTTTTACCTATAATTTTGCATCAATTATTAATCCTAAACTTAATCTAACAATAAATTACAAGTGTCGAATCATAAAGAATCTTACTCACATGGTTTAAATTTATTTCGTTCTGGTTAATGATTACCAAATACATCTTGACTAGCGAACACAACGTACAAAAAACCGTCTGGATCCTTTTCATTTTGATAGAGCTCAGCCATGGTCAGACTACCACTTACCATACTTTTCTGATTCACTAGGAGGAAAATAGCTTGCGTCGGATTGAGTTGTAGCCGACGTCTGTACAACACAAAACATATTAATTTACTTACATACTACAAAATCTTATGAGAAATATATATGTACAAAGAAACGTACCTGATTATTTTGCAAAATTCTGCCACAGTTAGAAAATCTGGCACTAGAAATTTACTCTTGTCCAAAAGTGGCAGCTGATTTTCTAATTTGTAACGCTCCACAATAATGGGGATTTTAGTCGGATGCAGTTTTCTGATTTCCTCCGCACTAATAGATCGCTGTTCTAGATTAGCAAAAGAAAAAATTATATACATATTAATGCATATTTTATCAGTGTGTGATTTTGAAGCATTTCTTAATCTATTCGACCGGAATAATAAATTACGCTTGTAGTCTGTGATTTAAAACCTTAAATCCACGATTTTATTTACATAAACAACCAACTTCTTGAACTTGTTAGTGAGTTCTAAATATAATTCTATACAGTTATGTCTTGATAATGTGAAAAATTTTAATTAAATGGTACATTTTGTTCACAACAAGATGAACATTGACTGAATGAGTTAAAAAGAGAGCGCGATCATTATTCATAACGTTTTCGGCTCAATCGGGTATGCGCTAACCTGGATTGAATTAATGATGTTTTGTACTCTAGCGTGTAATGTTAACCAATAGTAAAGTATTTTCTAATCTAAGTTAGTGCAAACCTAATCAGGGTGAAAACACTATCAGATAGCATGGAACATTTCAGCAATATTGTTGTAATGTTGCAATGTGAACATGCTCTTTTTCTAAATCTATACAACAGATCATTCCAGCAATATTACAGTAGCATTGAAACGTTTCAGCAATATTGTAGTAATACTGCAAACAGTAATGCTGCTGTAAACTTTTGTGCTGTATGAAAATATTATCTTTTACACACAATTACGTCTTAACATTATAGAAAATTTAATGTTGCATCTTGTCCACAAAATAACCCAAACAACACAAAGTCTAAAATTGTGACAAATCATTCTTTAGATGTAAAAAACGTTTTATGATCTGGATTTAGACACTTTTTGTGTGTTGTTCGGAAAGTACTGAACAAATAAGGAAATATTGGAATGTTCCGTGCCACCTAGATATCATGTTTCATGATATGCAATAATGACAAAAATAATTCAGTCATACGCTTTTATCAGTCTTTGGGGGCTTCATTGATACTTCAAAAGAGAAGATTTCAATTGTAGCTTTAAGAAATAATTGGTGCTTCCCATTTGGTGAAACAAGTCGACACAAACGTTATATCTTTCTTAACTCCATGAGAAACAAAGGCAGAACGATACTTATAAAATTAATTGTAAATGGAAAGCACCCATGCTTCATACACACACACATACCAATTCATCTTAATTAATTACTCAACACTCACCGAAAGATTGTTTTTATTTATGATATGGTATCCACTCAGAATTCATTCTTTACGTTCATTCTCTATTAAAATAACGTTATGCCGCGATCTGGGAAATTGTAAATCTAACTAAAAATAATATTCAAGATAAAGAAAATATGCAGTAAACCAAGGAATTCTTTCGTTCTGCCGTCGAATCGTATCAGTTATACAACAACAAAAATTCCGTTTTCATATACAAAATACGTACACAATAGGGATGTTATTTCATTTATGCGTTTATTGTCGTAGAAGAAATGTGTATAGGACAGAAAGATCTTCGGGTTTCTCTATCCTATAACCAATCAACAGGCTTGAAAAATTTGTACGACAAAAACGCACAAATGAAATAACAACCTAGGAACTTGAGTTTTAACGTCTTTCGCCCCCGTGCTTCTTACCCTTTGTTTTCAACCCGCTTTGTTTCTCAACGCTCGCGCTATCTATCACACTTGTCGACATTTGCTCGCGATGTAAATTGATGCCCCTCGCAATCGGTTTGGTCATTGCACGACAGATGGAAAATTATAATAAAATGTACCACGAAGGGCGCGACTTCAATCGTTCGGAGCAAATTGAGGCTTGGCGAGATGAATCAAGTTCTCAAATGTTTC